GAATAGTGTGCCCGCAACTTCAATTTTATTTATAAATTATTTTAATATTTTATTAGAATTAGAAAAACTTTTAAATAAAGTTTGAAATAGTAAATTTGGATTTGGATTTGAATTTTAGATTTAAAATTTTATATTTTAAATCACAAATTTATGTATATAAAATTCTTTATGTAGATAGCTTAAGTAATTTCAAATGAAAAAAACTAATGAAAAGAGGCCATTTGTCTTTCTTTTAAGGAGCTGTTTGATTTATAAAGAAAAAAAGTAATAAAAATGAATATAATTATATAGAATGGAAAAAGACACTATTGCAAAAAAGGCTTTTAACATTTTTTTTAGTGATATTTACATCTTTATATTGAGAAACATAAATCAAGGTGACATAAAAAATAGATAAATTTACATCACTTTTGAAAAAGACGTGAAAAACAAAAATCACATCTCTTTTTAATAAAAAAGGATCCACATCCCATATTTGGGAAAAAGGGACGTGGATTATGAATTATGAATAATCTACGTCCCTTTTTCCATAATGAAAGACGTGGATTATTAGTAATTCACATACCATATTTGTAAAAAAAAAAAAGACGTAATAATCCACGTCTCTTTTTGTTGTAAAGGGACGTCCAATATAATTGGAAGAGGGATATGGATTATTTTTTATAATATATAATTTATATTTTTTTGTGTAGTCAATAAACTTGTAAATTTTTATAATAGCAACAGTCCAACATCTAATGGGTCCAACAAATAATAGTAGCAATAGTATAAGCATATATAGATTAAAAGAACACTAAAGCCATTATCTATTTAAGTGTTTAATATTTACAATTAAAGTTCAACAAACTATAACAATATATTAAATAGAGTTTCTAGCCTTCTAACTTCTAGGTCAAGCTAAAATCTTAATTGAACAAACTATAAAATTTGGACTGTGTAAATAACATTTGAAGAAGTTAACCTGCCAAACTATTTTGAATGTCATTTATCTCTTTATTGGTATAGGGGTACTTATTGTCAAAAAGCTACAAATTTTTATATGATTTTCATTAAATCTAGTAAAACTCTCAAGCCTATGTACTCCTTCTCTAAATTTTCATTGAGATTAAACTACATACTAGGTGTAAATTCTCATTGGTGCTAGATTGAATAATTTCATACATATAATGGATAATATAGTATCCGCACCTTGTACTCCCTATCTGTCGATGGCACTGGACAAATAAAAATTAAATGAGAAGCATAAACAATACCATATATGGAATGATTGAAGATGAAGAACTTTGAATAAAAATTACTCACATTTGGAAATATTCAAGTCGGTGAGCCTTTTTTTTTGTTCCACTTTTGGGTGGGCGGCAGCTTCCCTCCGTTATATGATATATCTTTAGTGAACTATAATAAAATTTAAATTAAAAAACAAGAGATTAAAAAAATTAACTATATAAAAAAAACTAACATTTTTAAACTATAAAACATTAACTGATGTGTTAAATATCTTTAGTTTTATCACTAGGTTGCTTACTCATGGAGCAAAACCAGTAAATCTCATGCAAATACATGCAGACAACATAAAGAGACCAGTGATAGCTACAACATATAAGAAATATAATTAATATATAAAAATAAGAAAAACATTACCAAACTAAATAATATATATGCATAAATATAAACAATTTGCCCTTCAAGAACTGGGGCCAAATAACATAGTAATTTTGTTTCTGAAATAGTATTGTCCACGTACCTCATGCTATCATGGATATCATTGTGAGTCGGCATCACAGAAGCGGGACACAAAAATCCAAATTGATTTTCTTTAGGTCTAGTACAGAGATTTTGAGAAACTTATTAGCAAAAGGAGATAAAAATTAATGCATATAAATTAGAATAAAAGAAAATGAGATAAAATATAAATAATAAATTTACAAGATTAATAACATGGCCCAGGATATATCTAACTGTCTCATCAATAGGAATTCTAGGATGTCTTTCTTATCAATTGCAAAAGGATATGATCTATTTACACCCACAATTCCTTTAGGCATCATCAACTGGATTGGCTTTGTTATTGCCTTAAAAAACTCATATAATTGTGGCAGATAAGGGAAGTCCTTAGCATCTTCAAGATCCTAATGACACATCAAATGAATACAAGTTCTATAAATTGAGTAAAACCAAAAATCAAACAATAATAGGTGTTTTTTTTACCATCAAAACTGACATATCCATGTCAACAAGTCTTTTAGGCCATAGATAAAGTAACCTAAGGCTTGGCCTAATTTTACAACCTCATCAGTAGGGAATGGAATTGTCGCATGAGGCTCAAGAACAACCTCAACTGACACCTTGACTTGGTTGTCTGAAATAGTAATATGATGGATTATTTCCCCGAGCATGTATACCTAAGCTGTAGCAACTATCCGCTTCATGGGCTTATCCCACTACTACAAAAATGGCTATATATAATAGGATTTATTCAATGGTTAATATTAAAAACGTTTAATATGTATAGGCGGAAAATCAAAAAATTCATATTAAACAGTTATTAAATAAAGTATGAAATAATGTAGATCAATACTCAATGATTTTTATGTATAACCGTAGAGTATATGAACAAATGAAATTTTTTCCTCCTAAAAACTTACTCAACAGTTAAACTAAAAAACTGTTGAGTATGTAAATGTCAATACTCAACAGTTAATATAAACAACTGTTGAGTATATAAATTATTTGAATAATTTGTTTTATCTTTTTAAAAACTTACTTAATGGATAATGTATAAAAACCATGAAGTATTTTGTCTAAATACTCAACATTTTTTTATAATTAACAGTTTAATATATTAATTATTTCATTAAGTTTTTTGTATTTTTTTAATATATATGGAATGATTAATTATAACTATTGAGTATATAGATATATACTCAAAAATTATATTCATTTATCCATTTAGTATATTAATTATTAAATAATTAAGGGTCTTCTTTTATATATATATATATATGTAATGGATGGCTAAGCTATTTATTAACAGTGTATATATATATATGTTTGGCACATTTTTATGCAACGGTGACCAATAATCGTTTAATATATATATGTATAAAAAAGTAATTTTAACAAAAAAAAGAAAATTATATTCAATGGTTTAAATAGATAACCGTTGAATATCTATACACTGCATATCTAAATATATAAAGCAGAGAGCTACATGTCAAGTATATTCAACGGTTTCATATATAAATATTGAATAGCAAAGACCTCACCTACGCATAAGAGTATTCAACGGTTTCAATATATAACCGTTGAATATCTTGGCTTCTCCAACACGCTTACGTACAACACAGCAAAGAGCTCGTGCAGCAGTGCTCTGTCATTCAAACAAATTTCCAAACTTTTTCATTCCAATTTGAAACCCTTAATCCCTCCATTGTTGGCCTTAAGCTCTTTGCCTTGTGAGCTTGTCCTAGCCCATTATCAACTTATCACTGTTGTCATCTCCATCTTCACTGCGTTTACTGCATTTCTTCCCCTATTTCATGAGCTCATCGCTAGTACAGTGGCCTCTTCCCCTTGATGAATACCCCAAGCTCTTGTTCTCCATTGAAGAACTGTGGTAGTCGTCCTTACTCCAGCTCTCAAAGGCCGTAGTTGCATTCTGGTTTGATGTCCCTCGAACTCACTTCCAATATTGCCAATCTAGCCTCCTGGTTCACTCGTGCTTGTGTTGTGCTTGTGCTTCAATTTGTGGCTCATTGCTGCTTCTCCCACCAGCTATTGCTGTTCCTATGGCCTTAATCCAAGTCCTCTTGCTTTCAGAACACCCATATCATGTGATCTTATGAGGTAATTAATTTTTTTTTCTTTCTTTCTTTCTAATTGCAATTATTGATGCTTCATACTTTGGGTTGATAAATAGTTGAAATTTAGAAACTTAAGGTTGTTATTTCAGTGAATTTAGCTCTGTAAAATAGGATTAAGCAAAGAGATAGTGTGATTTAGCTTGTAAAATAGAATTTAGCTATGTAAATTTATAAGCTTGAATGAATTGAGTGTTATTGATATGCTATGTAAATTTATTAAGGTTGCTCTTACCATTATCTATGGTACATCTTTTGGTTTGACTATTCTGGGACTTTGGATACGCTATTGTTAATTTTATTTTGTTCAAACTACTGAGGGCCTTTGTAAATATGCATAGTTGATTATTTTGTCAACATATTTTGCATTTTATGTTCATGTCTAATTGAAATAGCTTACTTTGTGGTTGAATTGTGAGTACTTGTGGCTATTATCTAAAATGAGCTTTGGTGATATTTTGCAATCAATTGCCTTCTACCCTTAGCCACATTACAAGCTTATAATGCTTATAAAGTTTTGTTCTAAAATTAATTTGAAGTTGATCTATGTGTATGTTAGTTTGAAATTATTGTTATTTTAATATTGAATTTGTGAAAAGAGGGCATTAAGCTCTAGAAGTGCTCAATTTTATGCCATTATGCTGTTGAAATTTTTTCAAATTTTTATTTTGCAATTATGTAGAAGAAATTTGAGTTTTCTTTGAAGTAGTTTAATATTTTACTTGATTAAATTAGTATAAATAGAGAGTAAGGCTTAAGGAACACTTATTTTAAGCTGTTATGCTGCTGAAATTGTCTAATTTTTTTTTAAATAATTAACTTGTCACTCACTGAATGCTTTTCTATCTTTATTACCTTGCTTAGACAAGGGCATTAATAATGAATAAGGAGTGGATGTCTACCAACCGTTTATCTAAAGAATATTGGCATGGGGTGGCAAACTTTATTAAGTTTGCAATAAGTAATGTAAAAGACTGTAGGTGAATTGTTTGCCCTTGTTTAAGCTGTGGTAATGTGAGGTCAATTTCTCCTGAAACATGTGAACTCTACTAGTTTAAGTATGGAATTGATCAGAGTTATCAGTATTGGGTAAAGCATGGAGAAATACCTGAAGATGTGAATAATTATAATTGGGGGCATATGGAAAGTTGTTTATCATCACCAGATTCCAACAAAAGTGCATATGAGACTAACTATTGTTTGGAAGAATTGCCTGATGCGATAGAAGGGGAACTCAAGAATTTTCCAAAGAAGTTAGAAAAGTTGAAAACTGATGTGGAGACACCTTTGTATGAGGGTTGTACTGAGTTCACTCTGTTATCTGCTATGTTGGAATTATACAACTTGAAAGCTACAAGCAGGTGGAGTGACACAAGCTTCTCAAGCTTTTTCTCTATAATCAAACTAATGCTACTAAAGAATAACAAGCTCTAGGGTAAGCTATATGATGCAAAGAAGGTGTTACGCACAGTTGGCCTGAGTTATAAGAAGATACATGCTTGCCCTAATGATTGCATTTTGTTTAGAAATGAATATGAAGAGCTAACCTACTGTCCTAAGTGTGAGGCATCACGTTATAAGCAGAACGGGAAAAGTCCAAAGAAGGCAATGTTGTATTTTCCTATTATTCCAAGATTCAGGCGCTTGTATAGCATACGTGAAGAGGTAAAGAACTTAACATGGCATGCACGTGGGAGAATTAAAGATAATAAGGTTCGGCATTCAGCTGATTCTTCTAAATGGATAAGGTTTGATAGGAAGTACCCTGGGTTTAGTAAAGAAGAGAGGAATTTACGCCTTGTATTATCTACTGATGGGATGAACCCATATGGGATGCAAAGTAATACCCATAGCACATGGCCTGTGATGATGGTCATTTATAACCTTCCTCCTTGGCTTTGCATGAAGCGAAAGTATATTATGTTATCCTTGCTAATCTCAGGGTCTAAGCAACCTGATAATGACATAGATGTTTATTTAGAACCATTAATTGAGGACCTAAAGCTATTGTGGGAGATAGGTATAGAGGTATATGATGCTTACAAAGAAGAGATATTCAATTTAAGAGCCATGCTTTTTAGTACAATCAATGACTTTCCAGCATATGGTAATCTATCAGGGTATAGCATTAAAGGACAATTTGGATGCCCTATTTGTGAAGAAGGCACACATTCAGTGAGGTTACAACATGGTATAAAGAATGTGTACCTTGGGCATCGCAAATGGTTGAGTGACAAGTATCGATACCGTCGTTGGAAAAAGTCATTCAACAGAACATCAAAAGAAGGGAGGCCACCAAAGGAATTGACTGGTGAGGAATTGTTTGAGAAGGTAAAAGACATTGATATTCAATTTAGTAAACCATTTGCAAAGCATGTTGGAACAAGCGGGTGGAAGAAAATGTCAATATTCTTTGAGTTGCCATACTGGAAGACCTTAAATGTAAGACACTTCCTTGATTTAATGCATATTAAGAAAAATGTCTGTGATAGTCTTGTTGGCACATTACTTAATATTCCAGGAAAAACTAAAGATGGCATTAATGCGAGGTTAGACATGGTTGTGATGGGGATAAGAGAAGAATTGACACTGCAAGAGAAGAAAACTCATCAATTTCTTTATGCCGCAACTTATACACTGTCTAAAAATGAAAAGAAAAGTTTTTGTGAGTTTCTTGATGCGGTCAAGGTTCCAAATAGGTACTCTTCAAACATTAGGAATCTTGTTTCACTGAAGGATTTAAAGTTGAAAGGTTTAAAGACTCATCATGTTTTGATGGAGAATTTTATTCCAGTGGTTATATGTGGTATTTTACCTGATAATGTGCGAGGTACATTCACAAAGCTATGCTACTTCTTCAAGTGTCTTTGTAGTGAAGTAATTAGCCCTGATAAGTTATTGAGGCTGCAAAGTTGAATTGTGCAAACATTGTGTGAGATGGAGATGTTTTTCCCTCTTGCATTCTTTGATATAATGGTCTACCTAACAGTTCATTTAGTTAGAGGGGTACAATTATGTGGTCCTGCTTATTTGAGGTGGATATATCCATTTGAGCGTCACATGAAAGTATTGAAAGGTTATGTTAAAAGTCAAAGTCGATCAGAATGTTACATTGTTAAATGATATATTAGTGAAGAAGCTATTTACTTCTGTAGTCAATACTTAAAGAATTCAAGGGTTGTTGGTGAAGAAGGTATAGAAAGGACAATAGGAAGAAAAGTTGTCACTATCTCAAATGACCAGTGGAAAAAAGTACACCTTTTTTGTGCTATACAACTCTCTAAAGGTTGATGATTATACTAAGATTCACCAAACAGAGCTTAAGAGGCAAAACCCTTATCGATTAGATAGTTGGATCACCAAACTACACAATAAACAGTTTATACACTGGTTGAAAGAGCATATAGAAGGGAGATATAATGTCGATCCTAATTCAGTTCCTGATAGATTGAGATGGTTATCACAAGGACCGAATAAACATGTCCTCTCTTACACGAGCTATATCATCAATGGGTACAAGTTTTACATGAAGGAGCACAATGATCGAAGCACGATACAAAATAGTAGTGCATCTACCATAGCTGATGGCATGCACATTTCCAGTGCGAAAGATAAAAAACCTATCTATGCTAGAATGCATTACTTTGGGGTAATTGAGCATATTTGGGAGTTGGATTATATCTCCTTTCAAGTTTCGATCTTTGGTTGCAAGTGGGTTGAAAATAATAATGGGTTGGATGTCGATGACTTTAGGTTGATTAGGGTGAATCTAAAGAAGGAAGGGTATAAAGAAGATCCTTTCCTTTATCCATCTCAAGCCAAACAAGTTTTTTATGTCAATGATTCTGCTGATAAGGAATGGTCTATTGTTTTATGGAGTAACAAAGAAGTTGAAGAAATAGAAGCTGTAGAAAGTAATGAAAATGAGCAAAACAGAAAAAATGATGAAGTTGAGATTGATCCATTTTATGGGACATCATTTGAAAATGATGATGGCTTAGACAATATTGAAGATGGTGCTTTCTACGTAAGACATAATCACAATGAGGGCATTTGGATTTCTAAGAAGGGGAAATCAATTCAACTAAAGAAGAAAACTATTAAAGTTAAAAAAAGTAGTTAGGACAAGAAAAAGGAAAAGAACAAAATAAATAGGTAAATGACTATTTTTTACTTACTATTTTTTTAGTTTTATATTTTTTTATTTAATCTTATTAAGATGTTGCTCTTGTTTGAATTATTATTGTTTTATTTAATCTTGATAATTGATGTCTTCATAGGTAAAAGGCTACCGAGGGTGATTATCTAGATACTAGATCTAAATCTAGTAGTCCTAGTAGGCAAAATGATGGTAGCAGGCAAAATGTGACCAATAAGGAGGAAGAACAACTAAAGAAGGGGTTGGTTGTGATGGAGCAGGTGATAAAAGCAAGAAATGAAGGGAAGAAGTTTATTGTTAAGTGAAATAATAAAAATTAAGTAGTTGATAGTAATAATTTCATCTGTTATTAAGACGAAGTAATAAACATGTTTATAATATATGTTCTTCTCACAAGTTGACTTGTTTGTTTTGTAGTTGGGATTTGAAATTGAGGAAAGGCACAAGAAGTATGTCCTACAAAAGGCTAGGGCAGCCCTCCAAGCTTTTAGAAGTTTTATCTCTCATAAATTCTTGCAGAACCCCGATGTGGAAGGAATTGAAGACACAGTTCCTCCCCTTATTAGGCCGATTGTAAATTTAAATGAATAGAAACATTTTGTTGACTCACGCCGTAGCCCAGAGTTTAAGGTATTATTTTTGTTATTCTATTAAAATATTGTTGCTTTTATTGGCATTTGTTTCAACTTATTTGTCATGTTTTGTGTTTTTAAAGGCATTAAGCACCAAAAACAAAGAGTTGGTAAAGAAGAATAAATATACTTATAAGGCTGGGCGTAAGGGATATGCGGGTGTTGAAAAGGCCTTGATTGAAAAAGAGCAGGTGCCAGAGGGTTCTATTTCTCGTGGCAAGATTTGGGCCAAGGCTCGAAAGAACAAACAAGGCAATATTGATAATCCGAAAACAAAGGCAGTTGTTGACACAATAGTAAGTGTTAATGATATAATGTTATTAATTATTTATTTTTACTTATTTACCTTACCTTTATTGCTTCATAGGAGAGCTTGACTCAGGAGGCATCAGCAGGCACTCTTACTACTGATGAAGATATCTTGGAAAAGGCATTGGGAAATACTGACCATCCTGGTCGTGTTCGGGGCGTTGACTTTGGCATCATAAAGAAAGAATACCTTGGAGAAGGGTACAAGCGTTGTAAAAAAACTGCTTCTTCTGCTAAGGTTCAAGAACTAAGGCAAGAGCTAACAGAACAGAAGTAACAGATACAAGCACAGTCACAGTAGATACAAAAGCAATCTAGACTTATTGACATGCTGTTGAATCGGCATAAGTTAGGACTTTCACTGAGTGACGCTAGCCCTAGTGTGAATGATAGTTGTACAATCCCATCTCAGCTCCTACCTGAGGTAATATTATTAACTTTCCTAGCCTTATTCATGGTAATATTATTCATATTATGTAATGATTTTTGTCTTTTTAGGGTGAGGCTGATGTTGATTGTTTGGGAGAGGATGGTAGTTTGGTTGCACTGGGATGAATGTACAATATTGTTGGCCAAATCATACTTCACAATGAGATTCTCCCTAAAGGGACAGTTAAGGTTTCTTTGAAGACAGCTGAAAAGCCTAATTATGATCTACCTCAACCCACCAAATATGCAAGGATAATAGTAAATGCAATTGAAAGCTTTATAGCATGGCTGGTTCATCTTATACATATTTCAGCACCGTCCCCAAAGGTATAACATCTAAATTCATAACTGAAATTTATTTATAGTTGATCTCTAACTATATGTGTGTATGTGTGTGAGAAAAACTAGCTTGTTGATAAGCCAGTAGCCAAGAAAGCACCATAGGCTATAAAGGCACCGACGAATAATAAGCGAAAGAAGGGAAATGATAAGAACTCCATTGATAAATCCAAGGAGTCCATCACATTTCCCAAGAATGCACCAAAGATTCTTCCTCAAACCCATATGCCTAAAGCCTCTCAATCAATACCTCAGTGTTAACTAGTCACACCCGACAGACACTGAAAGTTGCTTAAGACTTATGCAGAGACGCAAGAAGGAGTAATGCTCCCTTTCCTTACAGCAATGTATGGAGATCTAGAGTCTGTTGATCAAGTCAACTATAAGGTTTTGAATGACTTATTCAACCATGCACAGGCTACCACTACTTTGTGTAACTTACATATGAGGTATGTTTCTAAAACCTTACATTAGATATTTACCAATATCTATATCTTCATCATTTATTGATCAATTTATGTTGACATTATTTAAGAAACCTGTACATTACCATGCTTGCTGGGAGAGATCTAGCAGAGAGGGTTATACTCGTCAGTCCCCACTTAATCTCTCCTTATGGCCACGAGACAATGAGTCCTAAGTAAGGATTAGAAATAGCTCAGAAGCTTTCTAAATACTTTGAGCAATGTGGTGCTAATAAGAACAAAATATTCATGGCACCTTATTGTGAAGGGTAAATCATTTTACGATACTTTACTTTTTTCAAAATTAAATTATGACACTTCCTAATTGTAATCATTATCATAGGGGGCATTGGATGATACTTGTGATCAATCTAACTATAGGGAGAGTATGGTATCTCGACCCTATTAGAGGTGGTGATCCTACAAACAGACTGCATATAGTAGAGATAATTAATCAGTAATTTCACTAAGTTTTGTGCACACACACACACACATATATATATATATATGTAAGTCATTCTTCTTATATGCATATTTCTCACGTCAACTTTTCTATTGCATGTTAGAGCCATTGTCATGTATCGCACTGAGGTCAATCAGCAATCTCGACAACTAATAATGGGTAGCGGTCGCCTTGATAAAGCAACATCATAGACAATTATTAAGGTAAATGTATTTATCATTAATTTTGTGTTTACAACATAAATACAAGTCATGTCATGTCATTAATTGATCATATTTTTTTATCCAATATGTGATCGTAGTGCTCGGAACAACATGACAAAGCTAGGGATTGTGGGTACGCTATCATGAGATATATGAAGGACATAATTCAACACGCTCCTGTCATGACTCTTCCAGACAATGTATATATGTTATCGACCTTCTTTTCATTATTTAATATTTTTAGTAATTAACATGACTTTAGTTTGTTGTTTTTGCAATTAGTACTATGAGGACGCATATTGTGACACATTTACTAGGGCTTAAATGGAAGAAGTCCTTGAAGAGCTAGCACGTGGCATTTTCCAAGCGTGGTTTAGCTATAACAACCAGCAACAGTGAAGGAATAGATGATGTTGGTATATATTTAAATTTGACATACATATAGTTGTACATACTTAGTCAATTTTTTGAGATATGAAGCTTTATTTTGGCTACTTATAGGTTTAATTTAAGCTAGTTCAAATTGTATATAGCTTATGTAGTTATGCGCCATGTAAATTTTATCATTTTATGTATAAGATAATATTGTTGGCTGTTGAAATTTTGTTATGGGTGTGTTGTATACTGTGTCTGTAAATATTCAATATAGGGGCTTATTAGAAATGTAAAGTATGTATATTAAAATGTAACCCTAAATATTCAACGGTTAAATTTTATAACTATTGAATATATTAACAATATGCAACAGTTTTCTGTTAAACTGTTGAATATTCTGGCCATGTATTCAACGGTTAATATTTTAACCGTTGAATATATAAGTATATGCAATAGTTTTTTATTTAAACCATTGCATATTCTCTAGTAGTTTTTTAAAAAAATATCCCACAGCTATATATTCAACAGTTTTGAAGAATAAAC